TATCATGCTTTACCGTGATTAAAAAACTAAACCAATCTCTCTGACACGTGACACTTAGATTGACAAGACAGTGGGGGAAATGGTGAAAAGACATTAATCCCAAAAAGGATAAGGGGAGGGGAAAGAAAAATTAAGCGAAATATCATTTTGGACGAAAGGACGAAGCAACCATATTTCCTTCAATACCTAGTTACTGTTTCTAGCATTCTTTCTGTCCTTATGTGGTACCATTTTAGCTTTCTTCATAGGTGGTAATGGTTCATCATTCAATGGGTAATGGTCTTTTTTTCCCATCATCCTTTGAAATACTGTATTATTGTTTATTAAGGGGTTAAATTCAACCGGAATCCCGGCTAAGCTATTTTTTTTAGTTTTTCTCATGAAACTGTAATTCCATCCGCAGTCTCACATACGACGAGATCTGATATTTTGTTATTTAACTATTTATCTCAGCATTTATTAAGTTTTAATTATTTATTTAATTATTAATTTTGTATTGCTTTTCTTCCGTAAGATTTCGGCACTTCTGATTTTAGAAATTAAGCCCTGGATTAAATGCATAAATAAGATTTTTAGTTGCACGTTCAGAAAGAGACGACGTTGAGATAATGAAATTTCCCCGTGTGTCCTTGACCTTGGAGCTCTGAACGTCGCTGCCTGTTCGCGCGCATTTTGCAATTAAGTCTAACGTGCAAAAATAAATACTATAAAAATCTTCTTTTCATGAAGTATTTGAGTTCTTGCATATGTTATTTAAATGTTATTCCTTATAATAGCAGTTAGCACCTGTCTCCTCCTGCCTAATTCGGAGTGAGATGACGGAGTGGTTAGAAGCGTGGATTCAAGCCCACTTACTAGCAGCAATCGTTACACTTTAACAATCGTTTTGTAACAATTCGAATCGTTACAAAACACCGCAGTTGCTTTCAGTAGCAGGAGCGGTTATAAGAGTTTGTTATTGTTGTTATTCCTTATAATATAAATAGAAAAACCTAGCATTTACAATTAAAATATAAATCTAAAATAACTTAATGCAGGGCTTAAATTGCGCCGGAGCCCGGGTCCGGTAATTCTTAGTTTTTGGATTATATTCGGATTCCAGTCGGAGCGCATCGGAGCCCTAAAAAGGAAGACTCCGGCACTTTTTTATGTAACGGAACAATTATTTTAGTAGAAATCTGATATAGAAAATTTTATTTTTAGCAATAAAATTATATAAAAAAATCTTATTAAATTTTAATTTATCTCTTTTTATTTAATTATTAATTATTTTTACTTCACATTTATTTAATTTTAATTGTTTAATTACTTTAATCTTTAATTATTTAATAAATAATAATAAATTGTGCATTAATTAAACAATAATTACAAGTTAAATAATAATTAATAAATAATTATTAATATCAATTAAATAATTATTTATTTATTTGATGCTCATTAACTATTTAATTTAATTTTTGTTTATTTATTTACTCTTGTTCCTCTTTCGTGATGGTCTTTCATAGGGCTCCGGCACTTCTACTTTTAGAAATTAAGCCCTGACTTAATATAATATTAGTAATTATGGTTATTTTTATGTACTTGAATTAGTTTCATCTCTGTCTGGTAGTATCGTATTGCCATATTTACATTCAAAATTTTAAGCCACTTTCTATGCGTGAAACGCTTCTAAATTCCGAACTCGCGTTGTAAACATCGCGCATTTTAAAATTTTTAGAATAAAGTGTTCTTAGAAAGGCTAATACGCAAGAGATCTCATTCAATAAGTTTTCGCAGCATTCTGACATAACTTATAAAAATTTAAAATAAAACGTTGCGTTTCAGCTTATCAAATATGTATGGGTTTCCCACATAAGCCCACGCAGGAAAACTTGAGCGTATCATAGCATGTGATACGCTGGGAACGAGAGCTACGCCATAAGCACCATTATAGTTAGAACACGTAAACATAATACAGAGAATTAACATGAAGCATAAATACATACATAGAATACGTAATAAATAATCTCCGAGTGAAAGAATTTTAATTTATTTACAGTAGGCATGATTTTAAAGCAGTTTAGTATAGTTTGTGTCCCATGAAAGGAACGTTAACTTTTTATGAGTTAATTTACTGTAGACATTTATAAAACTTTTTGTGAAGATTCAACCAATGTTTAATCAATTAATATTTATATTTAATTTTGTTTTTCTAGAGCCAGTTTAGAGTAAATAATACATTACTAGGTTTTCACGCGCAATAGTAGGTAACTTGTTAATTTTATTTCCATCTTAATTGAGAATATTTGAAGTAAAATAAGTTTTTCTTCCCTGCTTCAAAATTTCCTCAGTCTGAAAGCGTAAAAAGTTACAAAATGGCTTTAGCTAAAGAACATAATATTTTGAATATGTAATAAAATGTTTATATCTTACATCAGGATCACATCATTTGTAGTTCAATAATTCAGGGTTTTCAATTACAATGCTTTCTTTATGATCATATTAATATAAGCCAGTCCCCGTTTAAAGATCATGCATGAAATTATTCCTTTCCTTAGGCAGATAGTCCTCGTGTGCTTTGCTATATTCCTTTCAAACTGGTTGCTTAAACAGGCAGAGCAATAAACATAATTAATAATTTATATTTTGTTTTTGTAATATCTAGCAGATCTAATAAAATTTTATTATTCTTTTCATTCGTGGGTTTATGATGTATTTACTTGATAAATTTTATAAATATTTTCTTCATTGTTTTAGAAGATCTAAGATGTTTTTACTTCCTGATATTACTTATCTCAGTATAGAATAATAATCATCACAACGCCTAACAAAGAATCTTTACTTGATATTTCGTACTCTTCTGTTATCAGGGCTGGATTCAGAAATGTATTGCACATGTGTATGTAAATGAAATGTGTGTACATGTGATACATGCATACATGAACACAGCAGTCCATCCATCCATACATACATTTCTGGGCCCGGTCCTGATAAATAGAACAGTACCGAATATTTTGCTGTTTTGAGGTAAATGCATTTTCTAAGCGTTTCGATGCGGAATGCGCGGCCGCCATTTCGAGTCGTGTCATTTCGCTGTCGGCCCGGTTCGCCTTCAAGGCATATTTTCTTTAAATGATTATATTATATCTTGCCATATAATGTTAAATTTATTTAGTTTAATAATTTTTAACCTATTTTATAGTCGAGACATATTTTTCTTTATATGCCTATATTGTATCTTGCCATATTATGTTATTAAACTTATTTAGTTTAATAATTTTGTTTATATTGTATACATCTGTCTTAAATTTTAAAAATGAAAAAAACTTTTGCAATTAAATAAATCTTCTAGAATTGCATCTGCATAATTTTAGAAACTATCATATAGCTTCTGTTGGTTTTAGAGGTTTTAGCCCATAATTATGAAATGTGATAATTTTGTTATATTTGATACTGACATGATTTTCTAATGTGTAATTTCTTTGCATCCCATATTTGTAAACATTTATATTATGAGCAATCTTTGTTATGCATTTCCTTTCTACTTGACTGCGAAAAGTCCTAGACCCTTCCGATGTTTTTCGACGATGCAAGGAGCGATTCATTCCCTCCGATATGCATGTATGAAAAAAAAAAAAAAAGTATTTATTGGTTATAACTCAATTTCTTCTGGAGAATTTCGAGGAAAACGCTTTATAATAAAAAATTCCTGTTAAGACTGTGTATTTCTACTTTCAATGAGAACCCACTTTCTGAAGGTTTTAAAATTCGATTAGAATGAAATACAGCATTAACAAATTGAAAGTATCCACATTATATGTTTATTCCTCATGGTAAATTTTAAAAATGTACCTATTAAGTAAGCTGTGTGTTAAGCTTCTGGTTTATAAATCAAGTTTCTGATTTTAGTGTAATATTGTGCATGAATTTTGTTCTAAATATAAAAGCATTTTGGTATAGTTAAATTTCGGAAAAAAATATTTCTGGAACTATTTTGTCACCAGTCCAAAATATCGGATGTAGCAAATCTGAAATCTGTAACAGTTTCTCCTTAAAGTTCTGTTTCACATCTTTTTATCAGGTAAAGCCTGAACACCAGCGAATAAACATTAAGCAAATAATTTCTGGGAACGCTGAGGGTCGGTCAAGAAAGCCATCTGCTTAGCAAGCCTATTTCTGTACTTTTTCTGAACGAAGCAGATGTTACTTTTATGTCTTCGACTCCCTCACTATCCTGCAAGTCATCAGTCTGATTAGCTACACACCTGATTTTTTTTTTTTTTTTAATCCAATGGTGGGCACTTGCCTAATGCAGTATATATGATGAAAGAATAGCTTTCACTTGTACAAAATTGATAAAAAAAGTCAGCAAAATGAATCTCAATTCTCAAACGCTCACGAGCTGTATAGTGGATGCACTTTTCATAAGCGCTTTACTTTTATATCAATAATATCCTTTTCATACATTAGAAGTGCTTCTGTTATTCCAAAATTCATGTAAAAGAATCACTGTATAGAAAACTCTTGTCAGAAAGAATTAATGACTCATAGAGATCAGTAAGATTTTCATTCATTGAAAATATGCAAATTTAGTTTTCAAGTAACTAAACTGTAATGAAATTTAATCTTGATAAATTTTAACAATCATAAAAATACAGCTCATTTATGCTATGTGAGTATGTGAAGAAGGAAATAAAAATTAATGTGGGAATTTCGTGTACAATAAAATTACAATGCAGTGATACTATAAAGAAGCAAGGGTGTAAGTGTTAATTAAGTAAAACACACCAATTGAATGCTTCGGATTTGAATAGAGGAGAACGGGCTGGCTGCATGGGCGTTTTCGTGATTTTTCTTCATTGGTATTCCCAATTCCCTTTATGAAGTCCTCCACTAAGGTATCCCTCTTCTGAGATCCTTGTGGGCTTTACCATAATGTAATTTTTGCTAGACTAAGCAAACTTACTTCACGAATTAAGTTTAGAAAACTAATACGAGCAAATTATCTTTTCATCATGTAGGCAACTGAAAAATATCTGTGTGAGCGACTGGCTGAAGCCGTGAAGCACTGGTGCTTCTGGTTATCTCCTTGTGCAACGTAAATACGGGCCAATTTTCCTGAGAAAAGTGCTTCACAAAGGCATGCTATCCCCAAAACAGGTAGTCATAATTTGCTTTGCCTTATTCAAAAACCCAACTCTAATCTTAAAGCATCGTGAAAAATATTTGTACTAAACTTGTATCAAAATATGTTAGTTTCTTTTGTTAATATATGCAAAACCAACAAAATATGTTAGTTTTGCAGTAGCCTGCCTGCCTTTAAGACAGTGTCTGCTGTCTGCGTTCAAGTTATTCGATAATCTGCTTAAGGTCTTGAAAACTACTTCATGGAAATATTTCATCGATTTTTAAGCACTAGTATAGCATCTACGGCCAGATTTGTAACTTAACATTCCCAAGAAATAACCAGACCTTGGAAGGAAGTGCATTTACACTGAAGTATTCACCTTTTCAGCAACTAAGTAATTTGAGAAATCTGTATAAATACGAAGTGCCGCATGCTGTGGCATTTTTTTCTTTAATTTTAACTGAGATTTCAAACTGAAAAAGGAATAATCTAGTTTGCCAAGTTTCCTTTCGTTTTTCAAATATTTAAAGAATTAAATATATATCTCCGACGTGGGTGAGATCTTAGTGTATTGTTTGTCTGGCCTGCGGGCCGTTCCTTGTCGTTGAACATGTTCGCTACATGAGAATTTTGGTTTCCCACATGAGTAACGAAACAAGAGATACCCTAAGAAGGGCCTCCGTGAAGGCGTTCTTTCTATCAAATGATAGCTAGCCTTCTGCTGAAATAAATTACCTGCCCTCCCTCCCCTCGATTAGCGTAATTAGTATGTGATGCAAACAAATGTATGTAAGTCGGAGCTCCTGTCAAACGTGGAACCAAAATAAATCTTTATTTGGAACGTTTTCAGAGTTCTTTAATACACCTTTTTCAGAATTTAACCATCCAGTATTAGACTTTGGTACTCCCTTGATTTTTATTTGCAAATGGTCTTGCGAGACAGTATAATGCATTCCCAAGAGCAGACATCCACCATATTTATAGCATTTACTCTGTCACTAAAGTCAAAATTTTAGAATTTGCTTTTTTTACCGAGAGATGATAGTTTAACATCCGCACCATTCACCCTTCATACCGCACCTTTCATACGCGTTTCCGGTCGGAAGCGACAGGAAACCTTGTAATGGTGCTCCCCTCTGAGAATGGCTAATATTTATGAGACCACAAATGAGTGTCATGGCATGGAGGTAGGAAGTAAATTATCCACCGACCTTTCTTACCTCCATGGTCGGTGGATAATTATATTCCCTAGCATGATCGCTCCCTGTCCCGACCAAGATTATTAAATGTGTGTTTAGATGACCGCTAAAATATACGGTTTCGTTTTCAAACTAACATTTTATATAACAAATAAATCAAGGCGTTACATTTCCAGTTCTTACCATAACAGGCCCACCAGTGGTCGAGTAATTAAGGCCACTGAACTCTGGTAGTTCGATCCGGGTTGGCATCTCTGTGAATGAGCTGGTTGTATGGGTGTTGTCGTGATTTTCCGCATCAATAATAATGTCGCGATGGAAAATTTGCAGTTAATCTTTGAATGTTTGAGTTAAATCGAACAAGGCAAGTGTGCTAAATTACAACGTTGTACGCTTGATTTAACACTACTAGAAATATTCGGTTATTTAAAGCGCTTTAAACTATTCTTAATGCAGTATTTGATATTTTCCAGTGACTTAAAATCTACTGTTTGTACATATAGTCTTCTGATGATTGAAAACATATTGTAGAACTGATATTTAGTATGTTCTGAAAATAAAGTAGCAAAAGTATGCCCCTCTAAAGTCCTATTTTGAGTACTATCAATAGTTTAATACAATTTTGAACCGATCTGTTTCACTTTAGACATGACATTCAAGGCCGGTTTTAGCAGGTGTGCAGTGCGTGCAAGCATACTTCGGCCAGTTTCTTAACCAGTTAACTGTGATTGACAATTATACTTGTCATGGAGAAGCTGCACGATTTTGTGTATTGACGAGTATACTCGTCATGCGTATAAAGCAACGTAATAGAAACAGAGAAAAGAAAAATAATAACAAAGAAACCGTAGCTAGTGATTGATTATAATAAAAAAATGGGTGGAGTAAATATGATCGATGGAATTATCATAGCGTACTCCACAGCAAGAAAACGACTCAAAAAGTACTACAAAAAGATATTTCTCCATTTCTTAGACATTATGTGTCTGAATGCATTCATATTATATATAAAAAAATAATGGAACATTATCGCGTATCAACTTTTTGCTCAAATTTATTGAAGACACTTTCGCGACGTATCCGATTGAAAGAAATAAATCGACACAACTCGGCCATTTAAAGACCTAATATAAGCCAATTAGGCGGGAATCATGTTTCGGATTATATAGGCGGAACATCGAGGGAAGAAAAAAAAAAAAAAAAAAAACCTACGCGAAGGTGTTCGCATTGCTACAAACAAAGATCAGGAAGGAATCGCGTTACTGGTGTTCGATTTGCAAAGTCCCATTGTGTATAATACCCTGTTTTGCTGAATATCACTCCACAGCAGGAATTTAAATTCTTACTTTTATATGAATAATATTTAATTTATTGCGTTTTTAGTTTAATATGTATGTAATATATGCTTATGATAACCAAATAAGTAAATATTAGTAATAAAATTCTCAATTTTATAAAATAAACCCATTTTTTTCATCCAATATCTTACCAGCGCAACTTATTCTGTGATTGACGAATATACTCGTTATGGCTCGATTCTGGCGACACAAAACGGTGCGCACTCTTAAACGAGGGCGCCACAGTTAACTGGTTAAGACGGCCGGCAGTGCGTACGCCTCATAAAGTAAAATACAATTCAATACAGTCGTCAATTATGAAGTAACGAACATGACACTGTTAAGGAATAGTACTGTATTCTTCTAAAACTAATTCCCAATTAAGTATGCGAAGGAGCGTCAACAAATAAGTTACAAATTGCTGTAGGAATACAGGAAATAGCCATGGATAGTTTCAAAAGGTGCCGCCAGGTAGCAAAATTATCATACTTCGTACTGACCTTGTTGAGGGCTTGCCAGGGCAGTGTGAAAATGAATACCATGCTAAAGAAATGTAAATTAGGTGTCTATTTCTAGAGGAGAGAAGCATGTGACTGCTGAATCATACTGTGATGTAATATTTGAGGTTCTTAAATTTCTAAGTGAAGCTAAATCTGATGAGGCATTTAATAGATATATTAGAGATGTAGTTTTTTCTTCAAAAATAAATGTCTTTGAAATTAGAACTAAATTTCACTATTCTGTAAGGAAAATCCTCGATAAAATCGTTATAGGTCTAAAAGAATTATCTAGAATGAAGTTTTTATTAAAATTTAATTATTAATACCATTAGAATAAGTGTTGATACGGTCTTAAATTAATTGCATTCAGGAAATCCAAGTAAATGAGTGTTTTTCGATTTTTATGTGAATATGAAAAAATGATTAAAGTGAGAATTATAAAATTTTCCTGTTAATATTTGCCCTCAAATTAATAAATGAAACAGTATTTTTCTAAGAATACTGATGGTTTTTGAGTTCTTTCGTGAGCTGATGATGTACAAAATTTTGCCAGCGGAAGTTCGGAAATCCTGTTAAAATTTTGACTTTTTGAATGTTAGAAAAACTACTTTGATGCCATTTTCTAATCTGCTGAAGTAGTCTAAGAATTTTTCTGACAATACCAGTTATTGAAATGAGTTTTTCAGAACTCAAAAACTTGGTTATATTCCAGAATGTGTGTGATTCAAGAAATTTAATGATCTTGGTCTATTACCTACAGAAGAGGAATTGTGTAAAAATTGAGAATTAACAGATGTTACTGAGTTTCTGTGTATGAAAGTAAGAATGCAGAATCAAACTTATGCATCTATTTTGTTACTTCTGATTTTAGTGTCCTGTATATTGGCTAATAATAAACCTTTCTTTACTAATTTTTTATGGATTTTGTTTTTTTACTCTCAACAATTACTTGAAGTTGTCGTGAATATTGATCTAAGGTTGGGTTATATTTGAATGCTCTCACAATATCACCACTCAAAGCGACTAGCGGTTCAAAATCGACTTCGATGGTATTTGCAACTGCAGTTATTATTTTTTTATTTATTGTGTTTTGCAAATATGATTTCTTTTGTGATTTCTTCTAATGGAGTTACTCTGATGAGTTCTTTTCTGATTACCTTTCTAGTTGAATAACAAAACTGAACAGGCTTGAACAGATCTATGCTTTTAGACAAACGTATAGAAAAAGTCAACTGTATTCTAACCTTTTGCACTCGAGGCCTTCTTCGCGCGGCGCACAAGCAACTCGAGACGTTTCGCAGCCTTTTTGACGCATTTCTGACCAGTGACCTTCAAATCATTACACACATAAATTAATGTATAAAATTTTTATATTTTAAAATTTTATATATCTTTACATCTTTATAAACATAATTTCTTAAATATTAGTCTGTGTAATTTTTCTGTGTATATTTCATGTAACAATTCCCTAGTTGCATGCCCCGTTTGTCGGGGCTGTCGTTCGATGCCTTTTTCTAGGTTCATTTCTCTGAGAACAGACTTTGTGATAGATAAAAGATATCCATTTATAAAGGGGTGTCATATTACACTTCAATAAGATTATACAGAAATAGCGTAGGGACCCGCTTCGAAGAAACTAACGTAAACAGTTATTGCCGCCCATCGAGTTTCCGCATCAAACCAAGTGGTGAGTGAGAGTCGCCTCTCGAGTGCAAAGGGTTAAAATGCAAGGAAAGGAAAGTTTGGTGTTAATAAAATGAAAACTGAATAAAAGCTGTGTATAACGAAATTACGTGAACATATTGAAAAAGAAACTATTCTAATAATGTCTTTGGATATTTTAATTCATCCTCTCTGTTTATATAAATGTTATTTATATGCTGAAAATTAGCTAGAACGTAATTCAAGTTCCTTAAAAATTTAACATTAAAACATCGTGTCCAAAATTCGCTTGATAATCTTTATACATGCTCACATGTAAAATCTTAAAACAATT